ATGTCTGTGTGAGTGGAACAGAAACTGGTAAAGACAGGTAAGTCAAAACATCCTTTGGTGTAAAGTAGCGCAGTGTCGTTGGAAGTAATTGAGATATGCTGACTTGTAGCACCCAGTTACTTGGACAGGAGCTCTTGAGATGTTTTTTTGTTTTTTTTTAAATGTTATTCAACACACATTTAATCAGAATGAAGAGCAGAGGTACTCTGTGATATGTCTCCCTCTGCAAAGTAAAAATTTTGAAATCACAGTAACTCATTTAAAAACATGGTGTGGTTTACAGAGGGATTCCCCCCCCCTTGCTTTTTAGCTGTCTTTGTGGTGGATCCCTGACTGCTGACCTCAAGAATTTCCCAGGAAAATGACTTGATCTTATGGTACAATTTAGGTAGTGAATACACATAAAATGGTTTTACAAAGAAAACCAATACCAGCAAAGGCTGAAGTTCTTTTTCAAGATCATGTTAGGCCTGGGAAATGTTTGAGGGATATTCAAGAAAAAAAAACAGAACATCTATTTCAAAAGGCTCAAAGTTGGAGCAGCATTGTTGTGAGTGCTGGGTACTCTGTACGCCAGGCTCTGGACATCAGACTGAAAAGAGTCAATCATCAGTAAAGGCTTGAGGATAAAACAGTGCAGAGGTCTTCTCCCAAATTTCTGCTAGAGTTCTGCATGTCATAAGAATTACCTCTGTTGAACACACCTTCCTGCAAGAGGCAGAAACAGAGAAGGGGATGTGGATGATACACTGGACTTCGCTGCTGTGTGGCTGGTGGAGCTACCACCTTGTCTGCTGATTCTGCTGCATGCCTCTCATGCTACAGAGCAGAGAGGGACATCAGAAAGACACACAGGATAGCCTTGTTATCAAGAGAAATAGTGCCTCCCAGCAATTACCCAGGCAGAAAAAAACAGTTGAAATAGAACAGAACACTGCAAAGAAGTCTGTTACATTCATGCCAGGGGCTTTTGGATGCTGAATGTCTGTTAAGTACAAAAAGCACAAACTGTAAAGTGTGTAGTTTTGAGCAGATCCAGTGCTGTTCAGATGCACAAGACCTCAGTGACTGCTTGACTTCTGGATCTGGAGATATTGCAGTCTTTGACTGTCACAGGTTAAACCGCAGACGTAAGAAATTGATGTAATATGTAATGACCCCATTTAATTTAAAGTGGGGCAGAGTTACATTTATCCTCAGGCTGGAATTTGATTGCTCAGACTCCATGGGTTCTTAATTTGCTGATCTCTCTTCTGTCATCTTTTTTCCTCCCTTTCATTCCTCTTATTCTTTTAAGCAGTCTCCAGCTCGCTCATGCTTTTCTGACATCTTTTTGGTGCCAGAAGAAAATATTCATTCACTCCTGAAGCTTGTTTTTTTTGATGCACTCTTCACCTGTGCAGAACCTGAGATCAGAACCTTGCTAGAATTTGTCCTACCCTTGGCATTACCTCTGTCTTCCTTAAAAGAGAACAGGAGAGCCAGCTGAGCATAAAATGTGCCTTTTGGAACCATGTCCCTGCCAGCTGTTATAGCTCTCACAGGCTGCAAGGTGCTGTGCGAAGTCTGACATGCACTAGTCACTCAGAGCTTAGGATTAATGATGCTCTGAAAAGCTCAAGCACCTTTTTTTTTTTTTCTATTAATTTATATTTTCACCAAGGCCTGGCCTTCTTCAGTTCAGGGTGGGAATAGGTCTGAATTTTTTGTTTTTCTTTGGTTATCAAAATACAGAGGTTATTCTAACTGGGCACATTAATGCTATTCAGTTGCTTCCTGGTAACTGCTCCATTAATGTCTGTCAGCATGGCACCTTCTCCACTCATAACCTTCTCACAGACATGACAGCTTTCCTCACAAAATGGAGAAAAAAACAAACCCACAAAATGTCAAGATGTTGCTGGATGAGATGACCTGAGACATTCATGACACAATGGTATCTGTGAAGAAATGCAGATAGGACAGGTGCCTGACAGTTAGGTACTTTGTCTGTAATTCCTCTGAGCTACTGGCAGGCACCTTCTTAAAGATAGTGATTACCATGAGAAACCTCTCCCCAAAAGTAGTACTTGCAGTAACTACTTTAAAATGGTATGTGGGATGCCTGTATCCCTTCTGTTATTTTCAGAGGACAAATAACATAGGTCAAGACTTGTGGAATAATATTAACGGATTAATATAATAATAAAACAGACTGGAGAGTCCAAATAAAACAGACTTCAAACTGTGTTTTCTAAAGGGTTTTGTAAAATGGGCTGAAGCAGCTATTTGAGCTCAAGTAAATCAGGGAGAAGTTGCCTTTGAGTGACTGAAGGGCTAGCTCAAAAGCAGCCATTTGGACTGGTTTTCTCTGCCCAGAATACAAACATATTGCTCCCTGGGTGTCTTTCTGCAGAGATACTGCTGTGACTGCCTCCTCTCAAGTGAAACAGCACATTACTTGTATCAAGATGGTAGCCACCTTCTGACATGCAGCCATTATTTTTCTCAGACCTCAGAAATGATATGTCCAAGGTAAAACAAAAATGTAAGTAAATGAATTTGCTCACAAAAAATGTTTTTGCCTGAATAATTAATTAATCAGCAAAATTTCCCATAATAAAACATGTCCTAATGAGCTATCAGGAGGAGAGGAAATTCATCACTTACCTCACAAATGTCAACTTGAGAGCTCTGTTCATGTCAGATGGTATAATTAATGACTTGAGAGGGAGTGTGGAGCAACAAAGCCAAAACCACAGTCCTCATCAGTCATTCCACATCAGTCCAACTCATACAGTGTTACTTCATCTACAGAGGATTATCCAGGCATCTAGATGGAGATATGGGGCTGAAAGGAATATGAGCAAATACAGTACATCTGATCTTGATTTATCCAAGTTGGTTTTATGCTTATCACTGAAGGCAATGGCAGCTGATCGTGTAGCTTGTTTTATTTTGGCGGGTTTTTTTTGTTGTTGTTGGTTTTTTGTTTGTTTGTTTGTGTTTTTTTTTTTAGAGAAAAAGAAATTTGCAAACTTGGGACTTCACCCTCCCTGATGCTGAGCAAGCTGCCTTCAATCCCATGTCAGCACATGGGTCTCTGTGGGGTTTCTTCCCTGTGGGAGATGGGAACAGAAGTTCCTGTGCAGAAAGCCTGGGCAAGCCCCATCTGAGCTGCAGGCAGGAGTTCTGGGATGTTGTGCTCAAGATGTGGATGGCCATGGTGGGGCTGCAGTAAGAAGACATCTGAACTGTGCTCCAAGGACAGCCAGTAGCTGATGCTTGGTTTAGAAAAGAATGCAGGATGCTGGCAAGTGCACAGTGATCATTTTGTGACTACCTTCTCAGCAATCTGCTGTTCAGGAACTTCCTGACATGAAGATTACTTCCCAGCTCTGTGTTTAGGAGTCCTTGATGGCCTTTTTCCCCATTAGTTTCTCTAATCTCTTTTTGAACTGGCACTTATTTTTGGCCTCTGCAGTGTCCTGTGATGAGTGCCACAAAGTAATTATTGTGCTGTGGGGCATCTTTTCCTGTGTTTTAGAATTTCTGCCTGGCCTGTATATTTGATATCCTCCATTCCCTGTGATATGAGGAAAAAAAAAAATTCACCTTGCCTGTCTACACCAGTTTCCCCATGCTAAGGAAAATCAGCCTATTTAAGACTTCTTTGTAAAGCACCATCAAATTTACTCCACTAAAGCAGCTGTGTAGTTTAGAGACTAAGTTCCAGTCTAGGATTTACATGAGAGAAGGGTATGAGAAATCCAGGCAGCTGCCAAAAAAGTGACGCCTGACAGGTTTGATTTCTACCTCGTTGCTCACTCCAGTGTGTGGTCACTCCATCTGACCGAGTACTGCACTTCAGTAGCTGTCAGCCTGCTATATGCAGCTGTTTTATATGTCTGTTAACATCTGCAAACATCTAACTGTATTTTCTGAGTCTCTCTGATAAATGCTACCTAAGAAGTAGTACAGTGCCTAAAATGATCATAAACAGCTCTGGGATTAAGAACGGATCTGTGACATGCAGGTATCTCAGGTTGGATATGCCTAGGAAATTGGATTAGGAAATGACTTTACCTGGAACTGGACATGAATTGTGGTGTCTTGCATCAAAAAGAGGATTCATGTTTAGATGGAAAAATGAAATTGTGATTGAGGGGAAGCTCAAAATTGGCATCAATTTCATTTGGATTTTTGTGCTGGGAGGTGAGTAACTGAGCACAAATCGTATTCCTCTAGCCTTTTGCTTTCTTATATCCTAGCCATGCAGTCTGAGCCCTACATCTGAGGAGACGCTCTGATGTCTTTCCAAGAGTGGTGTGGGGTAGGGTGCTGGTCCCTAACAGTGCAGAGAGAGGTGGATGCTTATCTCAGGGAATCAAGTAAGTGACAACTGTCCCTGCCGTGCACATACCATTGCTGTGCTGGTCTGTTCTTAGCTTGAAGTCCAGCTGGAGCTCAGAGTTCTTTTCTTTCACTCCTACTACATCTGGTAGCCAGGAGACAATGCAGGTGATCCCAACCCTGGGCAGCCCCTAACTGACAACAAAGATCACTAAAAGTTAGAAAGTTATTCTACTTCTGCTTTTGCTGCCACTTGTGATACCTTGTTGGTGAGGACGACTAGGTGGGTTAGGAACAAATCCACTCAGCCTGCAGGTCCTGGGGTGGCTGTGCACCCTGTCTCTTACTGCCACCACCTGAGGTTGGTGGCCAGAGTTTTAGAAACTGGGGCCAAAACTTGCTGGGATCCAGCAGCCAGGATGAAGTTTTGTTTCTGGTTTGGGGGGGGGGGGGGGTGTGTGTGCATCTTCCCCCTCCCCCTTTTTTTTTTTTCCTTTTTTTTTAACCACTGCAGTGGGGGGCTGCATGTCACCAACACTGGTGACATCAGTGTCATATGTCATGAGGGGGACACCCCACTGTGGTACCCAGCCCCGCTGGGGAGGCACAGGCTGATTTAACCCCCTGAGCGCCGGGTGTATTAGCGGCCAGATTTTCCCGAAGAAGGGGGGATTCCCCACAACACTCTTTCCTTTCTGCTCCCCGCGCAAGCCCTAAAGCCATCAATAGGGGCAGCTCGGGCAGCGGGGGAGGCAGCAGCTGTATTCGGAGGAGGCAGTGCATTGCACTGCGCATCCTCCCTCCCCACCCCCTACTGCTTCAGGCTTCCTCCCTTCATCCCACTATCCGCCCCCTCCCCCGCATCCCTTCCTCCTGCATCCTTCCCTCCTGCATCCTTCCCTTCTGCATCCCTCCCTCCTGCATCCCTCCTTCCTTCATCCCTCCTTCCTTCCCTCCCTCCGTCTGCCTGCGTAGAGCCGCGGACATGGCGCTCAGCAATTTCCTCTTCGCTCAGTGCATCTGCTACTTCCTCGCCTTCCTCTTCAGCTTCATCGTGGTGGTGCCCCTCTCCGAGAATGGCAACGACTTCCACGGCCGGTGCCTGCTCTTCACCGAGGGCATGTGGCTCAACGCTAACCTGACGGTGGAGAGGCAGCGTTTCACTGTACAAGAGTGGGGGCCCGAGGCTGCCTGCCGCTTCAGCATCTTCACCGGGCTCCTCTCCCTCCTGCTGGCCACAGTGCAGGCCTGGAGGACCCTCTTCTTCCTCTGCAAAGGGCATGAGGAGTAAGTATCCCTGGGGAAGGCAGGGTGTGCCCATCCCTCCTGCAGGCTGGGGCAAGTGGGAGCATCCTGGGTGTGAAGCACTGGGCTTTGCACCATCCAGATCATCCTGCTCCCTGGGAGCTTGGGGTGAGGCAGTGTATTGCCTGTGTCTGTCTGCACGCACACACCATGTACACCCCCACCTGTGCCCAGGGCCCCTTTGGACAATGTTCCCCTACATGGGTTTTGGGTAAGGGGACAGATTCACCGATTTCCTCCCGCTGACCTTTAGCAGTCTCTGGGGGCAGCATCTAGCCAGCAAAACTGTGATGAGCATGGAAGATGTGTGGGGTCGTGGGGTGATGCTGGAGGCTGGGGCTAGCAGATGTCTCCTGACCGTGGTCCCACTACATGTCCCTGTAAAAGGGGCCTTCTCAGGTATGTATTAGGTGTGTGAAAAACCTTGAAACAGGATGGTTTTACATGGGGGGGGGGAGGCAGAAGGGAGAAGTTGTTGGCTCCCCTCTTATTTTTTTCCTGCTTTTCTGGTGGACATGGCAACTATTGCAGAGAACAACCATTGCGTGGTTATGACATGAGAGCAATGTTGAGCAGTGCCTGCAGCAGCCTCAGGGCTGCACTGGCAGCTGGGTACTGTGCTCAGGCAAACCAAGGGGCATCAGATCCCAGCAGGAATAGTGAGAGACTTGGTGGTCCAGGAAGCAGCTTGGGAGCTCTGTGCTTGCCTCTCTGGTGGCCTATCCTGACACCTTAGGTAGAGCCCCTGACACAGGTAACCCAGCCTATGGGTGCTATGGGTCCAGGGCCCTTCAAGCATCCAGCTGCACAAAAACAGGAAGGCAGGAGCACACACTGATGGCTGGCTAGACTAGGAAAGTCATTTCCCCATGGTTTAAGGAAAATTACAAAGACAAATCACTTGTGTCCAGATCTAGCTGTCCTAGAGGTTTCCTGGGTCAGTGGCTCTTACATCTGGGCTTGTACAATACCCTGATGTTGGTAATATCAGGAACTGTGTAGCAGTGTTGTCTCTCTGACTCTTTGTTACGACCCTCAAGCTGCCTAATGACAAAACATGCTGTAAGTATAGACTAGAAACTTATTTCCATATTAAAAATTATCTCACAAGTTCTAAACATAACCATGTACTTCTTAACACATTGAATTCAGCTTCCTCAGGTGACCAGATATCTATAGAGGATTAGTTAAATCCAGATGCTTTTTTTCAGTTTTGTAGTTCAGAACTAGTTCATTTTTGGAAGAAACCAGCAGTAAGAATCTTGTAATAGTGAAAATTGGATCAGATATTTGGCCTACTTCTAGATGTGGCTGTTTATTTCAAAACTGTTCAGAAGGCCCCTGAAAATTGTCCCAGAGACAAAGCAAGTTGGCATGAAATAACCATAGGCATCACAGAATGGTAAAACAAGATGAGAGAGAAGCTGCTGGAAAACAGCATTTTCCTAGCAAGAAAGAAGGTCTGTCTTGTACGGGATCTGCTGCTGTCAAGCAGGACACACACTGTTCTGATTTTAGACAGCCATTTGTTAATGCTTCAAATGGGCACACAGGTCTGTTTAGATGTAGAGATAAATGTGAGCTACTCACCACAAATGAAAATTGCCATTTCTGATTAGTTGAGGTAGTTGAGGATGAATCACAGTGACGTCACTGCTGATCCTATTGAGCAGGACCACTGCTGCTGGGCCAGCCCCAGGGTGGGCTGTCCAGAGGCAGAGTTGGCACCCTATGCATCCTAGCAAGGTGGCCAATCTTCATGTGAATGATTGCTGCTAAAAATCCTTCTTGAAAAGGTCTCAGCACCCCTTGCCTCCAGGACAGACAGAGCTGAATTTCCTTGCAGGAATAGAAAAAGCAAGCGCTAGCTGCCAGTCATGCTCTGGGCCTGGGACTATTTAGCTCAGCTGAAAGGTAGAAGTACAACTCAGATACTTCATTACCAGGAATGCAAAGCAACTTCTACTTTGACTCTAAGCATGTATTGCTATAGGGCATTCATTCAGTCTGGAATGTGTAGCTTGAAATTCTGATCTAAGAAGAAAAATAGATGAGGAAGAGAGCCAGTTTAGCACAGTTCTCTACCAGGATACCCTGGCCTTATGAATCTGTAGCACACAGTGATGTTTACTGATTGCCAAGTACAAATCAAGCCCTGCTTTGGCAGTGGAAGGTCAGATTCTGGACCCTGGCATCTTTTCTGCTGCAGAGTAGGAAGCAGAGGGAGGACTAGGGGTCCTGGGCTTGTGGTGATCCACTGAATAATCCTAGTAACTGTTTTTTTTTTCCAGAGCTCTTACTAATTCTGATGTCAGCTCTGTTTTTATTCAGTGGTCAGCTCAAGTCTTTTCTGACTCTCAGGCCAGCATACCATGCTGAGGTGCACACAGTGGATACAGTCTTAGCAACACTAGGGATGAAACCCAGACTAGGCTACCCCTCTAAAGCCATGTCAAACCAGGAGCATTACCCCACTGGTAACTGTTTCATTTTAAAGAAATTCTCCTTATATGCCTCACCATGTACAACCTATAGAAATTAGGATTGTCTAGCCCAGAACATTCCTAGGATTCAAACACTGACTCAAAAAGTCTCTCAGCTTTTCGTTTAATGAGCCACCATGGAAATTGCTGTTTGTTTTGTTTCATTTTGTTTTGTTTTTCTCTGTAATGAGCAGACTCCTTCTATCCCCAGCATAATGAAAGTGGCACTGGTGGGAAATTCATCATGTTCATCCTTACCACCTAACCTGGATAGGATGACCTCCTCTTGCAGATGCCGGTCTTTCTCCAACCTAGAGTACATGTCCAGTTTTTAGGTAATGGGACTTGCCAAGTGCCACGTAGGGCAGTTGCAAGTAGAGAAGGCTTGGTCAGATGAATGAAAAAAAGGATTAGAAAGTTTTCACTAGCTAGAATTAAGTAGGGGGAAGTTAAACAGTGAGGTTGGAATTGCCTGGCCTTATAGGACCACTGTAAGGATCCTACCACATACCACTTCAAAAATGGCATGTACCTAGAACTAGCCCTGGTTGGGCAGATTTAACAAGGCTGAGGTAAACTGATATTCAGCTGTCAGAAATAACACCAAAGCCAGAGAAGCTCCAGGAGAAGCTGGCTTGCTCTGCAAATTGCCCACAAAACTGAGACTGCTCTCTTATGATGACAGTACCTTGTGTTACGTTGCTTAAAATGATTATAGCTATCAGTAGTGGTTTTTTTACTTTTAATTTCCTTCTCCTAGGCAATTTTTGTCCCAGTTATCATGGGGACATAATTAGTCATGAAATAATTTTAGCTCCACTTAACTGTATAATTTAAGTTAATGACATTTATTTTAAAAATGGTGATTTTCATCATTACAGCTAACAAAAGCCATGCTGTGTATGAACAATTACCACTTACTTTATATATTTAAAGCACCATCCTCTTAAGATGAAAAAAATTATCAAAATCAAAAGCACTTACATATAAACATAATGTGACTCAAAATAATAATCTGTAGTTTTTCAATGTATTAGGTGTTCTTAATTAAACCAGATGTGTTTCAAATGGAAACTGATATCTTTGTGCTCAGGGTAGGCTGCTTAGAGAGACTGCTGATGCTGTGTTTCAGCTGTTTATGAGTTACATTTTTCTTCCTTTTTATTGCAGCTCTTTCTTTTATGCCTTCCTGAATCTGCTGATCAGCGCCTTTGTGGTGTTTATCACATTTATTGCTAGCACTATAGTGAGTGTAGGATTTAACATGTGGTGTGATGCAATTACCGAAAAAGGAAGCATGCCAAATAGGTTAGTATTGAAGAATACATTTTCTCTTTTTTTTTTTCATATATGCACAAATGAACAGTGCTGTTACAAACTGTACTTATTGCATGCAAGGTGAGCAAGGGTGAGAAGGCATGTGTAATATGCAAATCCAAATTTCTTTCATCTGGAACACCCCCCCCCCCCCGAATATATTTATTTATATATTGCCTTTAGTACCCCACAAAAAAGTATGTTTCCATGGAGTTTCACGGTCTCTTTTAGATTCATTATTTTATACGAAAGAAATCCATTAGCTCAAAATGTTTTGTTTCCAAAGGAGAGCTAGATTTGGAAATGCTCTAAGAGTAGGTGGAGTGTGGTCTTGTAAGCAGGGGAGGGGACTTGCAGTCAGGGCTCCTGGCTTGCTGTCCTGGCTTGCTGTCCTGGCTCTACCACCGACACACTGTGTGACAGCAGTCAAGTCACTCATCCTGCTTGTGCCCCAGTGCACTGTCATCCAAAATTTGATGTGAAGATGCTGGCCTCATAAAGGTGCTGTGAATGCCCTGAGAGCCCCAGAACTGAAAGTGCTTTGTAAGTGTCAACAGATTGTTGATACTTCCTTACAGTGCAGAAAATGTGCAGCTCCTAAAATGGTCTGCTGTATCCAATGGTGCTTATGCTCCTTATAGGAAACAAGATAAGTTGAGGTAGGCTTTTTCTATCAAACAAATAACAATAAGAGTGAGGAAAAAGTGACATTTTATGTCATATGATATTAAATAAACATATTACTTAAAGCATACATTTATGTTGCGCATTGCCATATGTTGTAAAATGCCATAGTAAATATTCTGTTTAGGGCTGCAACGATTAATCGAATTATTCGAATATTCGGTTAAAAATTCAATTACAAAAATGTCTAATCAAATATTCGAATAAGAACCCAAGATGACCGACAGCACTGAAAAGGAGAGAGAAGAGGCTGCAGAAATCAACCAAGAGCTAGAAAGACAACCTCAAAGTCCTGGGAAAGTTTTCACACCAGTAAAAGTCCAAGTTATTTGTAAAATCTGTAGGCAGCCTCTATCTTACCATCAGAGTATCGTCTCCTTGCCGGAGCATCCGAAACAAAAACACCCACACAATCCCTTCTTCTGAGGCTTTTCCTGATGAAGTCAAAAGGTAATGGAGGCTCATACGTTTTGTTTCATTGAGGGGTGAAGCAACCAACATGGGGCTATGCCAGATGTGTATATGTGGGAGGCTTGGGCATAGTGGGCAAGGAGGGTTTTAAGAGTACTGTTTTCATAATAATTATTACAATTTCACTTATGGAAAATTGATGTTATAGCTTACATAATTATACATTATTTTTTCATAAAGAAAGTAATTACATGCCTCTTTTAGCCTAGTTTTAGAGAAGACTGGCAAGCAAACTGGTTACTGTTATAACTTAAATATCTTTTGATGGAATATTGCTGTTGTGACAGAAACAGATTTAAGATGTTGCTTTCTTTTGCATTTGGTTTGTCTGTTTGGAATCTCTGAAATAATTTTCTTTTTTTTTTCCCCTCCAAATGCCTTCCTTGGGTAGCTGTGAAGAATTACAGGATATAGATCTTGAACTGAACTTAGAAAACTCTGCTTTCTATGACCAGTTTGCTATTGCGCAGGTAGGTCAGACTGGGTCATAGTTCTTTTCCAGCTCATTTGCCACTTTCTCATTGATCTGGGATTACTGGAGCTGACTTACCATTCCTCTGAAATCAATGAGAATGTTTCCACTGAATTCAGTAAGTGCTGAATCAGGACGATAGTGATGGGCACATTTGCATTCTAAATTCAAAATAGATATTTTTGCTTGTGGATGTGTCAAAACCTGATTCTGCCACTGATCTTGCTACTCATGACAGAAAATTTCTTGTTTCTCCAAAGGATGAGCTCTGCAAAACTTGCGACACTGGTGTCCTGGAGCAATTCACTGCTGTTCAGAATAATGTCTGAGGCTATTAGCTTTGCCTTCCATGAGTTTTTCTGAGATGGTCTGAGCCATATAAATATCAGACCTTTGAAAATAAATATTACTGTCATTTAGATAGGCTGTTTTCCAATGAATCTTTGAGAATTAGACCACTAAAACCTTTCTATTGAATAGGCTAGTCCTAAGTTAACAGTCAAAGTCAGTGAATACTGGGACTTGGGCATTTGTGCATGTGAGCACACACTAGATCTGCAAGGAGGATAGCCCCATCCATGTAGGGCTGCAGCCATACACATGCTTCTTACGTTGTCCCTCATGGGAAGAAGCATTAGGTTGCGTGGGGCACTCCTCAAAGGTAACCATGCCTTTTGGACACAAGCTAGTTTTGTGTCTTCATTGTCAGCACTGGTATGTGTGTACCCAGCTCAGATGTTTCTGCATGGACCGAAATATACTGTCAAAGTAACCTCTTTATATGATGCTAGCCCAAGGCCAAGCTGTATTTTGCAGCAGATTTTGCTACTAGATGCTAATCTACCAGCAAGTGGGAAGGTAGCAGAAGTTGGCCTGTTATGGGTCTATAGATTTGAGTTCATGAGAGCTAAATGTCCGTGTCCACCTTATGATCTCTGGGTGGATGGTTGGTAATCTATATACAAGAAAAGTAATTTCTCTAACAAGAAGCCATGCCTAAAAATTAAAGGTCCATGCAGCTGAAGGACAGTTAGCATATCACAGTGTAGATGGATCAGCCCAAGCCACTGAATGTGACTCCCTACATCAATCCCCGTCCCTCCAAGATGATGCTGGGTAGAGCAGGCTAGCCCCACCCAGGTACAGCCACTAAACTCCACAAACAACCAAATGTGAAGAATCTGGAAGCATAACAGCTCCAGAAAAACACCATTTGGCTTTAAAAGCTGAACCTGGTAATATCAAAGTGAATCTTGATTGTGACTGAAGAAAGGCCGAAGTCAAATTTTGCATCAGTTTTCTGATATCTAGGGTATGGTAATCAGAGTTGGATGAAGAGACAAGAATGGGTTTGCTTCTGTAGGGCAAATAAGATTCTTTGAAATGGTAGAAATAAAAACTCAAGAATAGACTAATGGGCTAAAGCAAACGTTTCCTTATAAGTGCAATAATTTCCTACTGCAGTCTTTACAGTAGGAGTGTCTGTCCCTGTATCTGCCATGTTTCCTCTATTTGGATGCTTCTAGCACATCAGGATGGCTCTGGGATTTTTACTGAATTTGGTTAAATCCAAGTAAGCTCTTTCGTATCAAAGATGCTGAGAAGACCACAGCAGTAGCAGATATCTGAATGTCTATAAGATAATATTTCATGAAGTGGTGCTTAAGATGTGAATGTAAAGCTTCCAATTCTCTCTAGATATAGTTATATGAAGCCAACTTATTATGTTCTTATTTCCAGAGTCTGTAGAATAATTTAAAAGTATTTTTTACAGGTGAACTGAGATAATTGTAAGTATGGGCAGAAATAAGAGAATTTCCAAAGTGTGTAAGATACATAGGAACATAAACTCCCATTAAAAAATAATGTCCTTTGCTTATCTGAATTGACTATCGGAGTACACAGCTGTATTACTGTCTGGAAATGTTTAAATATTTGTATTCTTTTAATTAAACAATCCGTATATCAAAACTGAAATACTGTGACTCAATTAATGCTTCTTTGCTAAAGGCATCATAGAATTAAAATGGAATTTCTACCAGAAAGCCTTACTACAGATGAGCTTCCTCTGGGTCAGGGGTGCCAACATTTATGTGCCTGAACCAATGAAATTGCAATTATCTCTATGAAGTTAAGCAAGAGAGATTAAGTTAGTGGTGGGACTTATTGCAGATCTGAGACTTTAAGCCCAGGTCTGTAATGCCAGTCATAAGTGAGCCACCAGGCATTTGGATTCACTGTAGTGGGTTACTCTTGCTCTCAGAGTTCATACTGAACCAATTACCTCAGAATGCAAAGGTTTTATTTGTAAAATTTTCTCAACGATATTTTGAATATAAATACCTTAACATTAACACTTCTGCAGGGGTAGTGGAAGGCCTGAGGGACTTGGGAAGACAGTTTTGGAAAACACACCTCAAATCATATTGCAATTCTAAAGTAATAAAAGTGAAATAATCCCAAGAATTTTGGGCTGGCCAGAATGCTGGATATGGGAAGTTCAGAGGATGCACCTCATTTATACATCTTTCTTTTTTTCATTATTGTACTTAGCACTTTTTTGTTTCAGTTTTTCTAGTATGTAAGTTTCTTTTTCTTTTAAGCTAGGAATAATTTGTGTGGAGGAACAGTAGGGTCAGGACCTCACTGCGTGTGACTTGGTGTGACTCTATGGAGTTTGGTCCAGCTGAGATTTTGATATTCACCTGTACATTTGACTTTGTTTTTTACAATACAGTACTGAACTCTTTATAATTTCTTTTTTATTCTAGTTTGGTCTCTGGGCTGCCTGGCTGACTTGGCTGGGAATTACCATTCTGGCTTTCCTGAAGGTTTATCACAACTACAGACAGGAGGACCTGCTAGATAGCCTGATTCATGAGAAGGAGCTGTTGCTAGGAAGATCCTCTTCACGATCCTCTTTGCAAGATGAGAAAAGTGGCATGATCTAAAGTGTAAGCAAATTTCCAGGGCAGGATGTAGATTTTAATATTCAGTAGTGTCAGCTGAAGTTGAATCAGGGTATTAAGTGTTGGAGAACTTTTCTTTCCTGAAAAGAGATGTACTTGAGAATCACCCACTTCCTCCATGAGAAACTGTTGGCAGAAATATTCATGTTGTAGTACAGATACTGTAACCTGCTCTTGCCAGCAGAGTTCCTACTGCCTTTTGGGGTGGGGGCCATTTTTGTGGACTGAGCTGGCAATACCAGGCTACAGAGTCCAGGATATTTCTTCAAACTATTCTGAAACAACAGTTGTCACTGTGGCTGTGTGCAGTTCCTCTTCCCTCCCTCTCCTTCCTTTTGCCAGTAAAGCCACCCCTATTCTCACCTTATTTTGCATAATTGCAGCTCTGGTCCAGGTACAGACTCTCACTGTCTCTGCTTTTGCTATATGTATGGATGCAGTGCTGACAAACCTATTGCTCCTGCTCTGATTTTGAGTTCATTTAGAGCATAGAGACCTGTGTTCCAGACTTGATATTTAATACGGGACAATGTTAATGAATTTCATGAAACCACTATCTCCTTACAGTATCTGTCAAAAACTGTATTAGTAGGATGGATGGTGGAGAATTTTTGTGTTTTTTTTTTCTTAGATTTTGGCATGACCAACATTTATTATGACTCCTGAAGTATAGTGTAGCTAGCAATTGCTGAAGCTTGCATACTAAGAAATTAGGCTGAACAGGTAGTATTAATGCTTGTGCATTTATAAATGTAACTTGGTCCCTAACATTGTATACTATTCAGTTTTGAATATTAGAATTTGCTTGTGATATTTATTTCATATGGGGTATGCAAAATCACTATAAACATTTGCATTGTGGGTATCTCTATATATCTATAAATACAGCAAGGAGCTTGAACAGCTGAGTTATTTTATACATAGTGCAGTGTTGAATGGTTTCATTTTCCCACCTCATGGGCAGGAGTTCCAAAGCTGACGAATTTTGTTGTGAAAAAGAGCCATTACTTATACAAAGCTCACTAATGGCTTTGTTGTTGCTTTCAGTTTTGCTTGGCTAGTCCTTCATCAAATAAGGTGGATGGTTGAGATGAGAAGTAGACATGAATTAAAAGTGACTCAGATGAGTGTGGGATTTGCACAGCAGGGAAGTAAAGTTGCACTAGAGCTAGGCAGTTATCCTCTGGTATACATCTCATTGAAGACCCCGATTCAGCAGTTAAGTTAAGCTGAAGAAGATTTTTTGGGAGTACACTGATACTGCCTGTGGAAACTGTGTTTGAGTTGAAACTGAATTTATTGCAACACAGGTACAAACCATGCACAACTGTATTACCTCTTAAGTAAGAAGGAATTAAGTACTGGCTTAAACTTTTGGTTGAAATGGAATTTGAAGTCATAGCAAATCCCTGAATTAGTAAGCATTTTAGGCCATAAAATCTAACATTATATTTAACAGCCAAATTTTTCTTACAGATTTAGGGAAAAAAAATCTCCATAGACTCTAAGCAGGAGCCAGCCCTGTAAACATCACTTAAAGCCCTAACTGGGCATAGCTATCTGTAGAGAGATCTTGTTTTTCAGCATGATTTCTGCCCACATGGGAATGAAATTAGTTTGAAAGCTTTACAGCAGTGGCTTTTGTGTAGTTGTGAATTGTCATCAGAGGAGGAGTTCCTGAAGAGGGAGTCAGAGATCAAGTTAGTTAACACCAATTTAAAATTCAGAGATCAGGACTGCTGTAGTGCCTTTATTTATTCATTTGGTCAAATAAGTGATAGATTGCTGCAGGTACCTAAGCCCTTTGATAAGGCATGACCTTCCCCTTCATACCCTGCAGAAGAGCTTGGGTCCTGAAAGTCAGCCTGTTTTCTGTGTTTCATCAAACATAACTCAAAACATTTGCATAGCTCGAAAGTTGTTTCTCCAACTGTAAAAAACACTACTCTTTCCAGTCTCACTTTGAATTTAAGATTAACCAGTGATGTTTCTTCCCACAAATTACTTCAGCACATACCTTGCTCTTCACATGGAACCATGCTGCTTCTTTGTGTAATATATTTTATGGATGTGTCAAGTCAGGCTTAGGCTGAAGTAACATGTGGGTTGTGACCACCATTCCTGGTCTTGCCTGGAGGTTTGAAGAACCAAGAGGCAGAAGATAGCAAATGTCTCTTCCTCATCCTTGCTCTGAGATACCAGGGCTCAAGCCTTGTCTCTGGTTCTGAGGAGGAAGAAGATGCTACTCCTTAATGAGGTTGTCTGGAGCTCATGGTTTCTTCTACCTCTCTTTTCTCCTGTCTCAGGTTCTTTTCCTCTTTCCCACTTCCATGAGAAGCAGCAAACACTGATTTGGGGGTTTCTAGCTTGCTGACTTTTGTGGTTATCATTTTCACTAATGTTTGTTACCATGACTCTATCTCACTGACACTATCGTCATTGTTATGCAGCTCAAAAGACAAAAGTGGGATCTTCAAAGCACCTGGGGCAGCCAGAATCCCACCTTGAAGTAAAGGTCAATAGGAATGAAATAATTCAGCCTTTGTAAAATCCAGTCAAACACAAGCATGTGTACAGACTCGCCTGTTAACTTTGGCATCAAAGCTTAACCTAATTCATTTACATGGGTGAATTCTTCTAACCCCAGTTGCATTACAGTGCCCATGAATGAAATAATCCTGGCAGTTGAAGTTGGCATGTAAACTGAAAAGAGGCTGAAGATCTTTGAATTCCACATGCAGTTTGATTTATTTTTCACAGCTTCCCTCACTTGACAAGGTAGGGTGAGGCTAGCACCCAGCTTGCAAGGATGAGTGATGCTTAAAAGGCTGTTTTGGAGGGAAGACCCTGTGCAGGTGAGAAGGCAAAGGGTGTATTGAGAAGCTCTCTGGCTAACTCAAAGGGAGGAAGGGTATTGTGCAGTGTCCAGTTATTGGATCCACTTGGGCTTTTTCATTTGTGTTTTGCTTGCTTTCTGCAACCTCTTCTCCTAAAGCTTGAACACTTTGACCAACATGGTGATACCAGGCTGAAAATGTGTTACAATAGCAGTATTATTTATAAACACATGCTTAGATACCTGTGATCATTGCTGTTAGTCATCCATTGCCAACCAGCACAGTGTGTGGCTGCAGTAGGAGTTTCTCTTGAGTCAAATGTTGCATTTCTATGATATTTCAGGGTCGTTTTTAATTTTCCATCTCCCAAAGCAGACCTCTGCGAACACTCTAGCAAGAGTGTTTAAAGAACTAGAACCCTGTGTAGTATTTATGCTTGTGTTTGTTTATTGTTACATGATAAAAGGGGAAAAAACATTGGGTTTGAACATCTTTGAGCTAACAGGAATTCTGTCTGTATCCAGATCCTAAATTTGTGCCTCAGACAACATCCTTTGCGGATGGAAATAGCCCATTTTTATCTCATTGGAATGTTTGCTTTGGAGACCACAAATGTCCTTTTTATTTATGCTTAAGCAATCTGAGAAGTGAGGCAGGTTTTGCCTGGCTGGTTTCCACACCTGACACCGTGAGAAAATGCTAATATAGCTTCATGAGCACTGAAATGGCTTTAGAAATATTTCTGTTTATGGTCCTAATGCCTTAAATTGCATGTTTCTATTTTTGTCCTCTATGAGAATGAGGAAAACTAACCTGAGCTGTACTTTCGTATACATAGACATGTATCTAAAAGTTTTTATTTTTTTTTTGAAATGACAAAATGACAATAATTTATGAAACAACTACATAGAAAACAGCACTTTGATGTATTCCTGACACAGAAGGGAAAAACACAACTGCACTCTCTCAGAAAACATTTGTTTCTAGAAGTTAGACAGCAATTTACTTCATATATAGCAAGTGTTGCTTATTTCAGTGCAGGCATGTTATTGATAGTCTCTTTCCATTCTGTTGTTGGGAAGTGTATTTACATAGCAATGCTTTCTCTTCAGTTTCTTTTTTCCATGCCAAAGAGTACAATTGAACTGCTATTGCAAACACAGATTAACATGAATGTATTCACCTGAGTGCTTCAACTTTTCTACCTCTTGTAGTTACTCTAACTTCTTGAACTGCCAATACTGTCAAAACTGACCACAGTCAAAAGAACTGAATCCCTGTGAGAGTTTAAATCCTATTTTCTTAGATAGGTAAAGGAATTAGGATTGAACACTTATTAGTTTCCTGTCAGATCCTTGTTCCTAAAAAATGGGCATATGCACCCAAGAAGGGTGAATAGCACTTTGATGTGTCATAGAATGCTTCTTTTAAAATTCTTTTTTCTCACCAAAACAAAAAGCCAGCAGCTGTGATTTGTTAGATGTGGAAGGTTGTATGTTACCTGAAATGTTGCATTTCACAGGGGTGACAGAAAGTGATGAGCTACTTGTTAAAATGCCTGTAACTGTCCATCCCCACCTCCTGGCGCTGCAGTAACTGTGAGGCACAGATTTAATCTCCCCCTCTGCCTTGGGAGACCCAAGCCTCTGTCCACACAGCATATGCTGCTACCATGTTGTTATCCTGGATCCCCCTCAAATCCTCCTATTAAAGCTATTCTATTTGGCTTGAAATTCCTGAATAGCAGTGTTTTACCCTGGTGTTTATCAAGGAGATAAAGTACTTGGCAGTAAGAGCCGCACACTGAAATAATTTGAATTATTTGTATATGGTGAAAACCCAATTTGAGAAGTTTTATTCCCCCTTTCCATTTGACGGTGTTGTAAAGTGAGGGTTGAGAGAATCTATCAGAAGGTGGGACTGAAGATTTTTTGTTGCTGAAGATTCATTGTTACTGTCTCAGGTGATTTGTCACACAGGCGGGTGAGCAGTCCTGTGACAAAATTACTCTCTGTTTACTTTTTGTTTTCCCCTTGTTTCCACCAAGATTTGAACAATATGACCCAGTTTGTATGCAGGTTCTGAAGAGTATTCATGAATGTAAGAAAAATTGTAGCTCCTATGTAAAAAAAATAAGAACAAGTGTTGCAGTTTTTCCCTGTTCTCAGCTGGACTCTCTGGAGTATGATGTTAAGCCCTTCCCTTTACATAAGGCAGCCCTGATTCAGATGACATGTTGCTCTAGGAGGCTCCCAAGGCTGGTGCCACCAGACCCTCAAGGAACATGGTAAAGTTAGATGAGCTCTATGTTAAGGCATGGAAACATTTGATAATCATCTCTGATGATATCCCACATAATACATTCCAGAGTTCTTCACCCTCTCACTCCTGCAGCAGAGGGAATTATTATTTTCCCTGTTAACACTGTGAAGTCCAATAGTTTGTCTCTGAGATACAGCATATCTTACTGTAAGACAGAGTCTTGATTGCACCAGTTAACCCGTTCCACTTTCTAGGCTGCTGCAACAGCTTTAACTATCATTGTTAACAGAGTGTTCTACATTTGACTTTAAAAAGTGCTAGCTATCTCCTTATTAAAACACAGTTTGCTGGATTTGAAAGCAGTCCTTTTGCTAAATGAAACCTCTGTGCTGAACAGCATCCTTCCAGGGGAAGGACTATGACATCAGGGTCCACAGCCAGTGCAGACTGATGATATCACAGCAATTCTGGTCAAATACCCTCTGAATAAAACTATTGCTGTCTTTCAGCCCGAGTTACACAATTGTGGTCTGAAGTACTTGGAGGTTTTTTGAAGGTTTATAAACAGAGCAAAACAACAGCAATAAATTCCAACAGTTCCACTGACACCTCCTTCCCCTGTTCCTTCAATTGCCAAAACCATTCCTGCAGCCTTCACAGAGGGTTTTATCACCATCAAGCTGATCAAGCCTTATTTCTCCTATCTCTTTCTTCTGAGGACAAGGATTGCTGAGGGGAGTGGAGAGTGCCATAAATCAGAACAGAAACAGGTAGTGAGAAGAACTGTCAGCACATTTCCTATGAGGGATTTTGGCTTTTAGGCTGTGATATGAGGGACCCAGCATGGCCCTGCCTATTGCTTACTACCTGCTCATACAGCTTCACAAACTGCAAAGCACCTCCCTGAAGCATATGTTGGCCTAAACTCTGCTTCTGGAGAGAGCTACCTGTGTCAGCTGTGCAGATACCTATTGCAAAGGTGCTGGCATTGCCACCAGGTTTGGAGGAACTGCTTTTTAAATCTCTTCTTTCTGTGTTGAGAGATCCATATACCCTATGGCTGGCCATTTGCCTGGTGTAGCTCGTGGCTTGTGTGGGGAAGGAAAAGCTGTTCCCAAATCTCCTAGACTTGCCTCTTTTGAAAGTAGCTATTGAAATCCATTGTTTTAAAGGTTTGGGAGTTTTGTGTGATACCACCTGCAAAGATCTGAAGCAGATCTTCTTTGCTTATGTCAGTACAGCCTCTCTGAAATGTATGTCCTGTGATTTATGTATTCATGAGGTACTGTTTCTTATATCTATGTCAGAAAAGCTTTATATAAAGAGGTCCTTGTGTAATGGATATTTGGGGACAGAACTAATGACTTTTCATGGCTTTTTTTTTTAACTATTGAAAGCAGTAGAGGGGCAGATCCTCTGCTGATTTACATAGCTTAGCTTCGTGAGCCGTGCTGAAGCCACACGAGTCCACACAAGCTGAGGGTATAGACTGGTCTGTTTTGAATATTATCTCTGTTGATTTGTGTGGTCTTTTGCAGTGTAATGACTGCTGATTTGGAGCTTTAATTGCATGCATTTGACAAAAACAGAACTGGAGTGAGTTTACTATTGTTTTGATATAGTCTCAAAAGGGAAGCTTTTTACTAGCATTTTAATATAGCCCTTTGTAAACGCTTGGCAAATAAAAATTCTGAGTCCAATCCTTCTGCTAATGGAGTCACTGAAAAAGTTCCCTTTGGCTTTACTAGGAGCTGGAGTGGGTTCAATATAAGTGATACACTCTTGTGTTACTGAGTCAACGTGTTTTATATATGGATGCTTTTTGCTGGGCAGTACATTGGCTTTTTATGATTTGGTGATACACAAATAAATTATTTGAAAAGTCAATATTTCTGTGCCTTTTTTGAAGGTGAATTTAAATTATTACAATGTGAGATAAAAAATTGTTCTCAAAGTCAGAGGTAGTGTCTTCGTTCATGTATTCATTCCCCAACATCTCTATGCTACAGCTTGTATAGTCAAGGATATGGCCAACCATCCTAAACTGCCTGAGCCCTTTTAGTACCATCTTCCAGCAGTGAACCATAATTCCATATGAGGCAGGGAGAAGATGCTCCCATATCAACATGCAGCTGGGAAGCAGCTTGTTATCAAAGATAAAGAGGGACCAGAGGCTTCATAGAATCATAGAATAGTTAGGGTTGGAAAGGACTATAGATCATCAAGTTCCAACCCCCCTGCCATGGGCAGGGACACCTCCCACTAAACCATATCACGCAAGGCCTCGTCCAGCCTGGTCTTGAACACTGACAGGGATGGAGCATTCACAACCTCCCTGGGCAACCCATTCCAGTGCCTCACCACCCTAACAGGAAAGAATTTCCTCCTTATATCCAATCTAAACTTCCCCTGTTTAAGTTTTAACCCTTTACCCCTTGTCCTGTTACTACAGTGCCTAATGAATTGTCCCTCCTCAACATCCCTATAGGCCCCCTTCAGATACTGGAAGGCTGCTATGTGGTCTCCACGCAGCCTTCTCTTCTCCAGGCTGAGCAGCCCCAACTTCCTCAGCCTGTCTTCATATTGGAGGTGCTCAAGTCCCCTGATCATCCTCGTGGCCCTCCTCTGGACTTGTTCCAACAGTTCCATGTCCTTTTTATGTTGAGGACACCAGAACTGCACACAATACTCCGAGTGAGGTCTCACAAGAGCAGAGTAGAGGGGCAGGATCACCTCCTTCGACCTGCTGGTCACGCTTCTTTTGATGCAGCCCAGGATACGGTTGGCTTTCTGGGCTGCGAGTGCACACTGAAGCTGGCTCATGTTCATTTTCTCATCAAGCAACACCCCCAAGTCCTTCTCCACAGGGCTGCTCTGAATCTCTTCTCTGCCCAACCTGTAGCTGTGCCTGGGATTGCTCCAACCCAGGTGTAGGACCTTGCACTTGGCATGGTTAAACTTCATGAGGTTGGCATCAGCCCACCTCACAAGCGTGTCAAGGTCCCTCTGGATGGCATTCCTTCCCCCCAGCGTATCAACCGAACCACACAGCTTGGTGTCATCGGCAAACTTGCTGAGGGCGCACTCAATCCCACTGTCCATGTCAGTGACAAAGATGTTGAACAAGACCGGTCCCAACACTGATCCCTGAGGGACACCACTCGTTACTGGTCTCCAGCTGGACATTGAGCCATTGACTACAGCTCTTTGTCTGCAGCCATCCATAGCCATTCATGGACAGACTCATATTCTAAATGACAACTGGTTAATTTTCTTCATGTAGCATCAGCCTTTCTCTTCAGAAGTGGGCCTAAGGGTTCCCAATAGCTATCATGGAGCAAAAAATTAGTAAGAACCAAGTTCACACTATTATATTAGTTTCCTGATTTATCCCTTGAGGGCACCTGGTAATACCCTTTTTCTAGTCACATGCTCCCAGCCCTTCTGCTTGATTCAAAGTGGCAAAAAGTAGAAATTACAATTAAAATTGCTGCTATGGGATTCTTCTGCTCCATTAACTTGTTTCCAGACTAGCAGCATTGGAGAGATGAAGGGAGGGAGTGGGAGTAGAAGCAGTCTTTGGGGCTGTCTTTTA